TTTTAAAAATGAATTCATAGATGGAATTTGTACAGTTTGTTGTTATCAATCGTAGTTATTATTATCGAAAATATTGTTTTGATTTAGTTTGTGACGATGGAATCGGTAGAAATGTTTTGAATTTGTTGGAATAGTGAGAAGTATCAGTGAATATTGGTGACGTTAATAGTAATTCTAGTGAGGGTAATGATAGTAATGGTGATAAAATATTGAAGTTGGCACAAGAGGCACATGACGTGTTGATAGCGTTTATGCGGTATGGCAAGATGGGTGATGGTTGTGAGAGTAGTACGACATCGTTGGAGAGTGGGAAGGATAACTTGAGTGAGCAGAAGGTAGAGCATTGGATTGTTAATGACTCGATCATATCGATCGCCATCTATACCGAAGGAAATGGCAAAACAAAGTTTACAACTGCCACGGCATCAGGTTGGTATTCGTTTAGTTATTTTCGTTTATTTGACCAAATGAAAATAGTTGATACGGATTGATAAATTTGTGAAAATTAATGAGAAGTTTTTAAGTTTCCGTATTTTGTATTCAGTTTTTAAAATAATCACGACATTTTTGAGATTTTTTTTAATTTGTTTTTGCTCAGTGTTTGTAAAACTTTTGGTGTGTGGTGAATTTGTAAATGGAATTTCAGAAAGTGATCCGAGTGTTTTGAAGACTAGCACAAACACTCAAAACAGCGACGATTATATAACGGACGTTAGACGAAGGCATCAGTCTGCAGTGCATAGGCCTGAAAGGTATTATAAATTGAATTCAACCAGTTGGATTGATATATTCATTTTGAGTTAGTTTTGTCATTTGTATGAGATTTACGAACTTCAAATCAATTGATTTGTCATCCATTTCAGTGCAAAACTATACAATTGCTAAAATTATGGTTCAAATATTGATAGGATACCATAGAATATAATTATAAATGTATAAACATGTACGCATTTTGAAAATGAGGCAAAAGTAATGAGAAGTTTCATTCAGGTGTTGTAAACTTACTGCGCATCCACAAGTCATAACATCTTAAGATATATTCTCATTCTTTTTGACTTATAATCTGAAATATTTAACGCCGTACCCGTATCAAACGTAATGGTGAATAAAATGATTTTCAAAGGGATTTAAAAGAATGTGAAATTTTGAGGATGAAGCAAATACCGCCTCGTCCAGCCGCGTTAGATGATTCGTATGCGATTAGCAAATCGTCGCCTCGTACCCAGTCGGCAGCCACTGTGACGTGGACACAGATTGTGGTTCGACACGTGTTCGGAAAACAGTCGTGGCTAATGCGATCGTTAAGCAGTATTCCGGAGGATTTCGATGCCGGTTTCTTCATTCAGTCATTTGTTTTGTTCGTAATTTTTTGATGTTTTTGGTTTAATGGGTTGCATACAGTGAATTGTAAAAGGACATTCAACCATATGCCCATTTGATGAG